AATGATGTAGGCGGACGTTTTTTTCGAAATAAGAAACGAAAAATGAATGACTGAAAACGATGACAGATTAATGAGTTGTTTTAAGAAAACAAGTATCGGAAATATAGAGATGATTATATTCACCATAGCTAAGCAATTCTAATAACCTACGTTGGCTAACAAAAGTAAAAATTTTAAAATGTTATTTTGGGTTTGTACGTTTCGAAACTTCGAAAACTGAAATAAATCTGCCCATTGATGCAAGACAAGAACGTTTTTTTTCGGCTTCAATTCGCACAAATTTCCTCTGTTCACGATAACCGTTCGAAGACAAAAGCCACAGGGAACCTCTTCACTAATACATTTCTTTAATAAACCCTCAATAGTCAAGCAACTGTTTATTGAAACTGGTGCGTGACTTTGTCATATCTATGTAATTCCGTGCATTCGATCATTCAGGTGCTTAATTTCTCATACACTTTGACCAGTGATAATCTTCTTTGAAGGATACCCTAGTATATCGCCCTCATTTTCCTTAGAAAATTGGACCGTACAGGAGACTTATTTACCTTCTTCGACTGAACTCGCTAATGTAATGCAGAAGGAGCACAATAGGACTTTACAGGGTCAGTCATTATATAATTTTTACGCCTTTGGCACTGGACCACAGACGACTCTTTCAAGGAATTAATAATAACAATTTATAGTCCAAGACGCATGACTCCAGTCAATCCGTTGCATTAGGTTCAATTTTTGACCTAGTATTATTTTACGAGTCTAGCTTTTGGTGCAAAGAGCCCAAAGAGGAAGAAAGCAGTTCATTTCTGATATTAATATTCATCTTGGCTTGAAACCAACAGTTGCTATCGCAACCATACCTACCAGACAGTAATAAAAGAAAACACGTTTGGCTCAATAACACTAAAGTTGGGCACCAAAGAACGTTGAATCTTTGAGGGTATGAAGTGATATATTTAATGCATGGATAACTTGAGTTTGACTTTCATTCCATGATATAAATTGAATATCCACTCTTAACTTCTTTATTTCTGTGTGGCTGAAATAAAACGAAAATGAAAAATACCGAGCTTTCAAATGTGGATATAAAGAACGTTTGGCGAAAAAACAGCTTCAGCTATTTGAAATAAACAAGATCATTGTCCTTAATTTTAGTTTCCTACAAGGGTTTACTTCTTAAACCTTTTCTCACCGATATTTGTTTATGGTCATAATGACACCCCATGTAGAAATTGTAGTTCCATCATTACCGTAAATAGAGAAAAGTGCCAAATTATAAAAAGTCAATGCTGGCGGTTCCAAGCTCGTCGCAAATTGTGAAACTCGAAACGACAGGAAATTCCATAAAGTGATGAGAGAGGTATTAATGCAGTGAAGAAGCCCGTTGTTTGGGTTCAATTTACGGTAAAGAAAAATAGAGTTGATGACAAAAATCTTCTTTATTTGAAATATTTAACTAGCCAAAAATTACATTTGTTTTTTTCTGTACTTAGAAATATTTCCTTTCACAGATTGTTTTGTTCTATCCCTCAACTTAGACCAATATGCAGCTCGTTTGAATTCCGTTCATATTGTGACTAAAGTGATGATTTTGAACAAGAAGAACCTCGAAAAAATATGGAAGTTGATTTACATGGCTTTCAATCAGAAAAATAAGTCGGGAACCAAATGTTGGCTCACATGTCTCTTTAATCTTAAGTCTGCAACAATTTTATCTAACGGAGGAAAACCTGAAAATGTCTTATGATTTAAAGGTTCTTCCAATGAAGGCCTTGGAAGCCAGATCCGATATTGAATGGTTTGGATGAATCCAATCATAAATTACGGTACACCTTTTCCAAACATCAATTTGCTATTATCTTTGAGATGAAAATGGCGCTTAAAACAACATTCAGGGGTTCTCCTTCGACAATCTTTATTCAATCCTGATGTATCGAGACATAGGTAGTAAGTTGCTCAGAAAATTTATGGAATTTTTTGTTGTTTAATATCCACCATCTACGGAAGATTTATTGTTTGTTCAAACTAAAGAGCTTATTAGAACTCGTCATTAATCAATTTTGACGTTAATGAATGTCGGGGAAGATGAAATGTCTAATAACTTAGGACTTCAAATTATTGCGTTCCTGTATTATTTCGAGTATGTGGGAAGGCCAAACGAGAAAATATTTTGCTCGCTGTAGTGAAGTGGGAGGTACAGCTTAACAACTTCAAACACGATATTCTAAATTCAAAAAGGAGTTTCTCTTATTCATTTCGTCGAATTAGAACAAGAGACTCACAATCTATCTAAGAACGTGTCTTATTTCATAATTTCAGACATATTTCAAGATACAGTCTTTATTAAGTATACGTGTTTTTGGAAAATGAAAGCTAACTGTGCGAGTGTTTTTTTTTTTTGGCGGATAAGGTTACGCCAGCCTGTCTGCTCCTACACGCCGATTACCATTATCCGCAGGATTTCGTGAGCGGGACTTCCGGTACATAAGATCTATTTTTATTACCATATTTTTGTGAGAATTTTCTTTTCGTCAATTATTGACGCTTCTATTAAACTTGTGAGGAGTTTCCCCTGAGAATGAAACAAAAAACAAAACAGAACAAACACGCAAACGAAGAAACGTTGAATTTATGGATCGATCTTGAAAATTGGGAGTTCTTAGAAACTCAAGGGAACTTGGCTTTTTATGTGACTGCATTATTGGAATATGTTCACCTAATGTTCTTAAGAATATTTTATGATGTTATTGTCTTAAACGCACTCCATTGATTATAATTATGAAGCAATTGAAGTTGATGTTATGGAGATTTGTGTGGTAAAATCCCTTTTTCTAATCTGTTGATGAACACCAATAGAATCGTAGCCCATCAAAACCAAAGTGTTCCTAACTGGCACAAAGGAAGACATTGGAAACGTGTTCATTCGCAAACTTTAAAACGCGTACCCACCTATATTATTTGCAGGGTCAGAACTGACAGCTGTTAATTTTGTTAACATCCCACTTTTAATACTAATAGGTCGGTTTCTATCACTTAAATTCATTATCAAATGCAGGTGGTCGACGTGAAATTTGTGGCACACTGAAAGCATCAATACTGAGCTCCGTTGTCTTGAGGAAGCATGGAATTTTCAGCGTTTCTGGTATTCGCAGTCTGGACTTCATCGACGACTTACTTGACGTTTGGTAAAGGTGAGTTACAAAATGCGCATCATTTCCCATCCCTATATTCATACTCCAGTCCTTGCTATCTTATTTTCCGTCACTCTTTATTTCTATTTCGCTGATTTACAACAGCTGATGCACTGAGCTTATTAACGTGTCGTTATGACAAAATTAAAAACCTGAATTCAACAAAGATGATTTTTTAAAGGAAGGAACCCCAGTCTTGTAAACTTCTTTTTTAGATATTAACAGTATTTAACAAAGGCGTATTATTATGATGAACCATATCGGAAATTTTCAGTTGTTACAAAAAAAGTAAGAATTGCTACGATGAAGAATTGCTTCATTCAAAACAACTTCAATCCTAACGCTCATCAGCTCATATTTACATGGAAGGATAATCAATTCTATCAAAAACATTTCGTTGTTGTGTTGCAGACGGGAATTCGATAATTTGCATGGAAAAAAAAATTGGCCGCTCTTAGCCAACTTAAGCGAAGTTATTTTTATAGAAGGACAATGGTGGCATTTGGAATAGACCAATTTGTACTGGTTTTAAATATTTGCCTATAAAAATAGGGTAGCCCGTCTCCATATAATTTAACCATTGTGTGGGATTGAAAAATAAAACCTTTGACGCAAAATCCTTTTAAATATTGCTTTTCGAATTGAAGGCTTTAAAACTTGCCAAAGAACAAATAGCTTAATTGAGATGATCCTCAAGAAAACCTTTGCACAGAAGCTGCGTGTAAGTTTCCAATTTTGCGCTCTTTCATAATCAATATCCCAGGAAGGTTTCCTTAGACTAAAATTTATTTAATATATATTTTCACTGTTTTAAAAACTCTGTTGCTGTGATCAACATTTTTCAATAGCAGAAAAATGATTTGGGTAGACTTTATTCGACATGACAAAAACAACTAATGAATCAAAACGATGAACATATAAATGAGTTGTTTTCAGAAAACAAATGAGGGAAATAAAGAGATGAATATATTCACCATAGCTAAGCAATTCAAACAACTTTCATTGGCTCGCAAAAAGTAAAAGAAATAAAATTTCATTCTACATTTGCCCGTTTAGAAAACTCTCGAAAGCGAATACAAATCTGCTCATTGACGCAAAACAAGAATTATTTTTCTCGGCTGAAATTTGCATGAATTCCCTCTGTTCACGATAGTCTTTCGAAGAAAAGAGCCGCAAAGGAGCTCTTCAGTTATACATTTCGTTTATAAACATTCAATAGTCAAGCACCTGTTTATATAAAAAAAAAAAAAGAAAAAAAAACTTCACTTTTTTTCACTTTAAGACGATCTCTGGTCAAAGTTTTTGAGATATTAAAGGCTCCCTATAAAAGAATTTAAATTGTGTTCATTGCACTGATGAAAATGCTTAAAAAAATGCAAACATCAATTAACTCTCTCTGTAGTAGGAATTTCACAGAGTGTTTGATGAGCTCGTCTTTTCTATCGATATGATAGACTCATCTAAAAACGTACGAGCTTCTGGAATTGTGAAACTCGAAATATTTGCCGTAAATTTTCCGTATCTCAGAAACCCTAAACTCTCAAATAAAGGTATTTTTTAATTTAATTGTTTAACTGTAGAAAACGACGAAGCAATTTACAAAATTTTCAATTACATCTAACGAATCATCGTTTTTCTCACCGACTGCTATGTTTGACTTACGTTTTTTTAACCATAGTTTGCTGAGATCCGAGAATTTTTCCGAAGAGATTTGTTCTTAGAAATTTTTACTCGAAATTTCTTTTTCTTGCGACGGAAAAGTATGCCTTATAATCATATTCCAATTTGTCTATTTTAGAGCGAGAGCGCGCAATGGTGTTTCCAGACTACTACTTCTTTGCCGAAAGACGTTTGGTAAACCATACCATTGAAAAGAAAGGCGTCAATAACTTGGATGACTGTGAGCTACTGTGTTACCTGAACGACCACTGTGTCAGTCTTAACTTCGAAAAAGATCCAGAGAATAATAGACCACTTCACATCTGTGAACTAAATAACGCCACTCATCTAAAATACGACAGTCATTTGACAACTAATGCCACTTTTTATTGTCGCGGCTCGAAGGTGAGTTACAAATCGATTTTTCGAAGTTATCGCCTTTGAATAATATTATAACAAAAATTAATCTTTATACAAATTTTTGTGTATTCGATCATTCGGTATTTCGTTTCTCCTTTTTTTTTTAGAACGCTTGTGACAAGAGTCCCTACTGCGAAAATAACGCAACTTGCCAGTCTGGATTTACACTCAAGGGATATCGATGCTTGTGTCCTCCTGGATTCAAAGGAGAATATTGTGAAAAGGGTATGAGTCTAAGTCAACACTTGAAATGAACGTATATGAGATTTTTTCTGATTTTCAATGCTGGTATGACAACTGTTCTTTAGTTGCTGAAAGTGGCGTGAATTTATGTCATTGTATAAGGTGCTGAATCTTAGAATCTAAGAAAAATTTCTTACTATATTTTATTGAGCGTGTGTAATGTATTCTTCGTTCGCTCGTTTGTATATTTTGGTTTTATTTTGTTTTGGTTTGTCTGTTTGTTTGTTTTTTTTTTTGTTTTGTTTTTGTATTTGTATTTGTTTTTGTTTTTTGTTTTATCTTTTATTATTTTTTATTTACCTTGAATGTTCGACGCCTTTCCATGGCAAAATAAGAGCAGTTCATTCGTATGTCGAGTGCTTAATATAGTAACTGCAAGGAGAGCTCAGAAATAATAGCTTAATTGAAAAGTACGGCCAGAGAACTACTAAAAGCAGGAAGCTACAAATAAATTGAGGTTTTTGTGAGTTGCTGAGTTGCTGAGTTCCTATGGCTGTTTGATAGAAATCAAAATGCTTATATCTGTAATTGATATTTATTCATGTATTTTTTTTTTGGTCCTTCTTTCTTTCTAATTTTACGACAGATAAATGTGAGGCATTCATTGGCAAATGTCACAGGGAGGCTACGTGTAATAACACAAACGGATCATACGTGTGCATATGCAAATCTGGATTTATCGGAGATGGGCATAATTGTACAGGTAACCTTCATTAGTCTCAAAAGCCTTTAGATTCTTGTTGAATAATGTAATGAGATTTTGTTTGGTTCGTTGTTTGTTGATGTTTATTTTGGTAACGTGGCAAGCCATATTTTAATTGTTTAGAATAGGTGAGACAGTTACCTGACTAAAAGTTATCAAGAGATAGGTTTTTTGCGTAGACAACTTTTTTTCATCAGGTACGACAATCTCGCGTTCTCGCAATCCAGCAGAAGATTGAAAACAGCCGCGGCTTGCACTCTTTAAACACGGTAATGGCTTATGCACAACAATTTTTGCATAATTTCGAAATCCCATTTTTTTTTTTATCTGTGATTTCATAGACATTGACGAGTGTAAAGGAAACCACTCTTGTCACGAGAACGCAAACTGCACCAACACCAATGGATCACATTTATGCGATTGTCAGCCTGGATATACTGGAAATGGCCAAAACTGCACAGGTAAATTCGGAATAGCAAGGAAATGCGGTCAAGGATGATTTATTTTAGTTCGTTCTTTTTTTTTTTGGTATATATAACGTGTTTTGTGCTCCCGTAGCAAAACAAGAGCAGTTTAAAGCGTATGCTTTAGATAACACAGTAAAGGCTTATGCCACGGCAATATTTGCATAATTCTGAAATCCCATTTTTTCATCTGTGGTTTCATAGACATTGACGAGTGTAAAGGAAACCACTCTTGTCATGAGAATGCAAACTGCACCAACACCAATGGATCACACGTATGCGATTGTCAGCCTGGATATACTGGAAATGGACAAAATTGCACAGGTGAATTCGGAATAGCAAGGAAATGCGGTCATGGATGATTTATTTTAGTTCTTTTTTTTTTGTATATATAACGTGTTTTGTGCTCCTTTAGGAAAACAAGAGCAGTTTATAGCGTATGCTTTAGATAGTCTTTGCCATGCCAAAAAAAAAAATTGAAAAAAAATAGCGGTTTGAATTGTAGGTCCAACCCGAGAATCGCATGAAAAAAAAAATTGCAAATAAGTGTTCCACTTTTTTTCATATACATGTACATGTATGACTTTTGAATAAAACACAAATTCCATTTTTCATTCTTTTTCTTTTTTTTCTTTTCTTTTTTTTTTTTTTTTTGACAGATATTGACGAATGCAAAACATATTCCAACAAATGTGACGTAAATGCTCTTTGTAACAACACGCATGGATCACACGTTTGCACATGCAAACCTGGATATACTGGAGATGGACGCAACTGTACAGGTACAGTCAATAATTTCAGCGTTTTGACTATTGCAATGATTTTTGTCTGTTGTTGTTTTTTTTAAGCGCGCACGAAGCAGCTAGAGCACGAACGAAGTGTAGAGAGAAACACTAGACGTAGTCGAGAAGCATTTTCTCTCTGCTCACGTTATGATAGCGTAAATTACGGCGCTTGGCATGTTTTGAAACCTTAATTTGGTCCTTCTGTTACTACTTCGCTCATTCCGAAATTTTACTTTCAATTAATAAAAAAAGATAGGGAGAGGTTCGAGAAATGGTCAGACTAAGTATATGTTTTCAGTACACTGATAGAGGACTCTTCTTCGACCGATGACAGAACGCGTTATATCCAAACTTTATCATAATGAGTATTGGATTATTTCTATTACCCCGCCTTAAATCATGTTACGGACCCCCTTCATCGTTGATGCTTTTTGCGTCTTTCTGCCATTGCATGGGCGATGCAACAATAATAGACGACGGCGTGAAACGTTCTTTTGATTGACATTCGTTGTAGCTTGATTATGACGAAATGTATGTTCTCTTTTAGACATCGACGAATGCGGCGAAGCTCATGCAGTGAAAATGAACAACTGCCATCCGAATGCCTCTTGCACTAATACTCAGGGCTCATACAACTGTTCCTGTAAACCTAAATACATTGGGAATGGTACAAACTGTAAAGGTACGTTTGGTATCCACCATGCCATTAAATTAGTTAAGATGGCTATAGGTTAGACTCGATCTGAATCTTTCCTATTCAGGTGGCCATTAACGACCATATTGCTGCTTAGTTATATATAAAGTACGTTAGCTACGCGTTAATTCTGCCGAAAGCTGTCTTTAATGCGTTATTGAAGAAAGAGGAAACACAAATTCAGAGACTGCTTTTCGTAGTTTATAAATTTTATTTCCAATATTTATTTCTTAGCCTCATGGTCCGAAAATGCCCCACGCAAGTATTACTTCACCTCTCTATTTTTAATGTAGTTGTCTTCTTTAATAACCTAAGTCCTGTTGTAATAATTATTTCACTTTGTAGCCGATCATTGCTATCATTATAAAAATCTGAGTGATGCGAATAGAAAGATGAGTTACGTAACACCTGCCGATTCAAGTTCGTGTGACAGCCCATTATCTGAGGGATGGTATCGTTTTGTAGGAGCTGCGGGAACAAAAATGCCAACAAAGCGTGTGCCAGCATACAGATGTGGTACAGACTGGTCAGGCTGGTTGGATGGTTCTCATCCTACAGTGGAAGATGGTAAAGTTCAAAGGACGGTCTGCTTTAGTAATCGCCCTAATGGTTGCAAAGAGTTAAAGAAGATTTTTTGAAAAACTGTGGATCATACTATATCTACGAACTTTTGAAGCCTCCAAGCTGTAATGCACGTTACTGTGGCACAGACAAAATTTAAAGCAAAAATTTTAAGAGATAAGAGAACTCATAAATTGATCCTTAGGTGCACATAATCTAGGAACTTTTCGAAGTCCTCTTTTATGATAATCATTAATTTTTTCTATAATTTTTTTACGCTGATGATTTCCCTTTGACGTGTAATCAAAAATACTTTGAATTTCACATTTTACAAAGTATCTCTTTCATAATTGTAATCACAAATAATTAATTTCTGCTAAAAGAATTACTAGTAAACACAAAGAAGAGTATAGAAAGGAAAATGCTTAAATAGTTAAATCCTAGACAAGCAGGAATCAGCATGATAACTGACAAAACATGACGAATCTCTTTTCTCTAAACGTTAGAAGCTGCTATACAGGACGCAATATATAGCACAGTATGGTAATTTAGCTTCAGTTTGTATAGGTGATCACTTGATTTCGAGTGCAATTTGGAATAAAGAAGCACGAGTAAATTTTTTCAAAGACTAACAAAATTGCACGAGCCCTTGGGGCAAGTGCAATATGTGGTCTTTGAAAAAATTTTACAAGTGCTTATTTATTTCAAATAGCACGAGAAAAATCATGTGATGACTTGTTAATGATATATGGTATAAAAAATTTAACTTTTTTTCCCCGCAATTTTACTTTAAAATGAAAAAAAAAGTTTCCAAGTGGAAGAGTTTTGAAAGAAATTTGTCCTTGTTTCAATCCTATGAAACCATTAATAATGGCGTAGAGAAGAAATCCCAAATGCTAGTGTTAAGTTAGAGTAAGGATGTTAAAAGTTAGACAAAAAGAATAGTTAAAAGTTAGTTAAGATTTTAAAGTTGCACACGATTCCTCAGTCAAGTATTTGTCTTCCATACCCGTGAAGAAATTTAAACGCATAGCAAATGAGATAAACACTTATAAACACTATTTCTTTATAAACAAAAAAAAAAAAAAAAAAAAAGAATTTAAAGTAAACCACAGATGGTCTAACCGGAGGTAATTAAGATTGGTTGAATAATTTTGTAGGTCAGCTTTTTAAGCTGTGTAAATAGAGCAGAATAGTAAAATCAGTCATCATGTTTTAGAGAAATCGTGCTCTTAATAAATACATTTATCTTACCTGGAGCATTTTAAACTAAGTGTCGTGAAGTTAACAATATATTTAGTGCAACGTATATGATTTGGTAGATATCTAATAGCGGAAGAAGACAATTATGAAATTTCCAGCAAAGCCGGGTATAGGGAATTGAAAAGCCTGAAAACAGACCAGTTCGTTGTGAATGCTTTTATAACCAATTCACTACTGATATGTAAGGTCGATATTCTTCACTGTTGACATTAGTGAGTGATATTGGCTGTCATGATCGTAAACTAGAGATCATAGAGGTATAGGAATAAGTCATGACTTCTGACCGCTCAACTGAAAACTGTTCACCAGCTGGAATTACATGCAGTGCGTACAACTTGCGCAGTAAGAATTGGTCAATAAAACTTTACGTACTAAATTTATTTGCGAGGCAATTCTCATGACGCAAGCAAAGCTAGTGTTCAATTGTTGTTAATCACTTAATGGTACCTATATCAGTTGCTGATAGTAGTGAGGGGTTAGCAATGTAATTGACGGAAACGGAGGAGAGGAGGAAGGAATTCACAATGATAAAAAAAAAACAAAACAAAAAAAAAAACCGGAAAGGCCCATTCCTCTTTTTAGGAGTGTAAATAATTATGGTTAGAACTAGAAATCTTCCGTATCCATACCGTATCCCTCAGTTTGCTGCAAAAACAAAAACATGAAATCGCTCATTTTTCTAACATACGCATTAAATGAAATAACGCTTTTGCTCACGCTTTATACCGATTTTATTCTTCACAGCGAAACGTGACGTTCATTGGTGGGCGTCTAAACTTCCTGCTGGTAACCAAATGAGTTGTATACGGTTTCAGATGTTGATTAGGTACATTTGATTGCAAGATTTGGAAAATATTGCACTGAAAAGATCAAGTGTTAAAGGAGTGATTACGGGAATAAATATTTGAAGCGTGGTCACGCCGTGACTGTGCCTGTAATGATGGCGTGATCACATAGGAAAATAACAGATGTGGCTTCGCCTCTTATAGGAAGCATTAGCCACATAAATTGTGATTAGGAATCACGAGTGAAAGCGCGATCACAGACCGGTAATTAGGTGTGATCATGGCCTGGGAAGCCTGTGATGAGAACGTGATCACAAAGAAAAATAAAATTTGTGGCTTCGCCTCCTAATGAATGCAGTAGCCACATCAATTGTGATTAGAAATCACGAGTGGAAAACGTGATCACTGATTGTCAATTAGATGTGATCACGGCCTGGGAAGCCTGTGATGATAGCGTGTTCACACAGGAAATAACATATGTGGCCTTGCCTCCTACAGGAGGTAGGAGCCACACAAATTGTGATTAGAAATCATGAGTGGAAAGCGTGATCACAGACTGGTATTTAGATGTGATCACGGCCTAGGAAACCGCAAGATACCAAGACACTGCTACTCTGGTTTACAGATTTAATGAATGTAACCGAAGAAGTTCCAATTCATAAACCCAACGTTTCGACACCCTTGTCTAATGCCTTCATCATGGGTGATCTAAACGCTGCAAGAGGTCCTTTTATATGGACAATCATTAGCTACCTTTTTTCTGACGAGGTGTAAATAGGCGTCAGGAAACAAGCCGCCATCGTCACGATTTAAAGGAGCGTGGGCGGAGTTAATATGCCAAGCCTCCAAACAAAGGTGCTGGTGGTAATGCCGATTAGTGGTGATAATTTTAGGATTATCCCACCCGATTGTATGGTTGGTTAAGCATGTGTGCCCCGATAAAGCTGAATTTTACTCTTTGCAAAAGAAAACCGCTTTTTGATGCTCTTTCAAACGTGTACCAAACTGACGTTTGGTCTGTCCGATGTATTCGTTGTCACAGTCATTGCACGGAATAGAATAAATGGCGTCGGTTCGTTTTCTTTCGTGATAGGATCCTTAGGTTTGGCGAAAATATGCGCCAAAGTCTGAAAAGGTTTTTTAGCAACTTTAACGTTGTGGCTATTCAAAATATTCTTGATGGTTTCCGTAACACCTTGAATGTAAACCATAGTAGCATCAAACCATGTCTGATTGTCCACCTGGTTGCTGTGTAAACTTTAATATATTTTTTAGATACCAAGATTTTTCTAACCGATGAGACTGCCCTTTAAAAAATAGAAAATTTAAAAACAGCCTTGTGCGCTAAAAGAATTGTTCTCGAAACTAACCGAAGTAAACGCGTTCAACAAACATTTCAATTATGTTTTGTTGAATTTCCGTAGCATTTAACTCACCAAGAGATGTTACTCTGTGACAGTTTTTTTGCTCCATTGAAACATAAATATTTGGAATCTTCCATAAAAAAAACCTTGAATACAGCAGAACCATTCTTTCGAAATTTAATATCTTTGAAGAACAAAATACCAGCCACTGGATTGTTTTTAAGCAACTATGTCCAACAACTGTTACAAGGCCCGGTGTGACGTACATGTCACGAACGATGGTCTCAGCGTGTCGTCACAGCACAGCATAGAAATACACAATCAAAATATTGTCATTTCCAGACTGGAAATGGATAATTGTCTACAGTTCCTGCTGGGGCGTAAGTTTATTTCATTGTGCTAACCCGTGAGGTCTGTAAAAAGACATTTATTTGTAAATAAATTTGCAAGTTTGCCAGCCCAAACTGTATCATTAACCGCATCAACAACTTGGTGCGGTACCTTAAACGAGTCGAAGAGTGCTTGATCCCTCTGTTAGGACAGGTTGTATGGGGGTTCGTGCCAAAATTGACAGAGTATTAAAGTTAAAAAACCCTCAGGGATAAATAAAACAACTTGAAAACTTCTTCGTTTTTGAAATATCATAACAGTAAAGAAATTTTTGGCAGGATAATTTGATTTCTTTGCTTTTAATTCTTGTTCGAATTATAGAAGTTACGTCAATTTTTCAACCAGATAAGTCGCATCATTTTTTCTTTGCAGCAAAAATGTACACCCAGAAAAAACTCATTGAAAGCCACCATACCAATATGTATTTGTCAACGTTTGATCCACTTTACGGAATTGTAACATAAACTTATTATGAAGCGAAGAATGTTTCCCACATTTATATGTTTGTATAAAGCAATAGACCGCATTTTCTATCGGTTTACCAGCGTAGACACCCGTGCATGACGTTGGGAGAACACGAGAAAATTGTGTAAATCACGAGTCGGAAGCGAGTGATTGTGACTGTTCGGTTACAACACCGGTTATCCGAAAGAGATTACTGTCCATTGCCCCTATGAAGTAAACGTCACACAAAACTCAGTGTGTTCAAATATTTTATGAGTTTACCTGTGCAGGGCACTTGTAGTAACTCAGTTATTTCAGTTATTTAAGAGTGGTTCGGAAAAAAGTTTAAGCGAGCGCGCTTCCTAATAAAAAACTTAGTGGACACGGTGGATGTTTTAATGACTAAAAACCCAGTCGGTCCAAAGGATCGCAACGACAAACAATGACCCCATAAAATATAGGAAATTAAATTTTCCGAGGATCAAAAATGTTATCCTCATCGGACATTTGTCCACACCCCTCTTCAGTAAATCCTGGATTGTATTGTGTTTGCAAAACTAAGTAAAATGTGACCTTTATATTAAAACGAAAAAAAACAAACAAGCAAAACAAAACAAAACAAAACAAAACATAAAGAAAAGTCGTGCCTTTGAAAGAAGTCTTGACCTAGGTTAGATCTCGTCAAGTGCAATCAGATTGCCTAGATCACTCCATATCGGCTCAAGTCGTTTTCTTTTTTCGGTAAATGTTTCGTCGTTCCCTTAAGTGGCTTTGAAGCACTTTCAAAAGATCGCTAAAATTTACGATAAAAACGAAGTAAATCCGACATTC